GTCATGATCTCGCGGTTCGTGGGTTCGAGCCCCGCGTCGGGCTCTGTGCTGACTGCCAGCTCAGAGCCTGGAGCCTATTTCAGAGTCTGTATCTCCCTCTTTCTCTGACCCTCCCCTGCTCATGCTGTCTTTCTCTCTCTCTCCTAGAAAGAAATAAAAATATTAAAAAAAAAAAAAAAAAAAGGAAAGAGTGTTCTTGCCTGAAACTTTCTCTTCCCCTCATCTCCACGAGTGTCCCTTGCAAAAGTAGGTACTAGAGAATGCCAGAACACATGTTAGCCACCGCTAATAATTTAGTTTATGTAGCAAATATTTATTTATTCGGGGGCATGCCAGACCCTTCTTCAAATGATGTGACTACTAAAGAAAAGGGCTCAGTGCTTCCTCCACATGAGAAAAGTAAAGACGACGGCTCTGTAGTTAAGGAAATGTCACTGGGGCAATGTAAAAAGTGCAGTGGGAGCCAGCGGTGGTGGCAGAAAGAAATTTTTGAGGAATGTCTGTCTGTAGTCTCCATGGTGTGCGGCACAAAAAGAGACTCTGAGTGGGAAAGAAATGTAAGTGAGGGACAGAGACTTTACAAAATTCTTTGCATTTACTTTTCTGTTTTTTTCTTTTCCTTTTTTAAATTTTTGTTTACTATTTATTTTTTAAATCCACATCCAAGTTAGTCAGCATCTAGTGCCATAATGATTTCAGGAGTAGAATCCAGTGATTCATCCCCTACATATAACACCCAGTTCTCATCCGAAGTGTCCCTCCTTAACGCCCCTTGCCCTTCCCCCTACCCCAAACCCCTCCAGCAACCCTCAGTTTGCTCTCTGTATTTAAGAGTCGCTTATGTTTTGTCACGCTTCCTGTTTTTCTTCATGCCTCTTCCCCTGGCAAAAGAAGACATTAACTGGAGAGAAGAGATTTCACAAAAGTGGTGATAAATCAAGATGTGTTTGTTTTATGTTTTACACATGGAATTTTGAGTGATTTGCTGTTCATCTCCACCCTTTTCCACCCAAAGTCATTATGAACCTCAAATTCAGCCCTAGGTGGACTGGTTGACTCTTCCTCAGATGTCATAAATGTATCCCCTTACAAAGAATGGAAATGATGCCCAATGAACCCACCCTCTTATTCTCAGAGGGTCAGGGTGAGTCCCTGTGGAGGGGAGATGTTAGGCATCACACTTCTCAGAATCAGACCATCAGACCTGCTGGTCACGGTTAGAACCCCAAGAACCGTCAGGTTGAAGTTTGTTTCCTTCCCACCCCTAGGCTGCTTCCTCCATCCAGGGGCTCAATGCCCCTCCCCAGCCAACAGCTAATGGCTGGCACTCTCTCTTTCATCTCTGACTATGGGGAGAATTCTACATCCAGAAACATACTTTCACCTCTCACCATCTGACTCTGTAGTTCAATTTGCTTTCTTCAGGAGCCCTCCACTCTCTTCCTCATTATTTCTCTAAAAAGGCCATCTCATTCTCCTCCAACCCACCTGCCTCCAACCCACCTGTCATCATGTGAAACACGAATCTCCCTGCTTACCGTCTCCCATCGGCTCCTTTACCTGACATATTATGTCAGCCTCAACCCCAAAGGACACTTGGCTTGTGCACACCCCTGCTGTTCCCATTGGTCTGCTGGTGAAAGCCCAGGCTTGTTTGAAAGTTTGCCATGCTGTCTGTCACGCCACTGTCTCTTCCCGGAGTGGCATCTTCCCCATCAACACCAGGAGATCTACTAACCTCAAAGCCCCATGACTGAGTCTGGTCTGGTTCCAACTATGTCCCTAGCACCCAACTCTACATCTAGCAAGTAAGCAGGTGCTCAAGAATATGTACGTAATGAGTGAGTGACCAACTGAGAGAGTGAGGAAGAGGGAATCTCTGATGAGCCAGGGGCTTCATGATGAGACCTCTCCGAGATGCCCAAGGACAGTGCCATCCTCTTTCCTCGGTGCCCCCACAGCACGTTAGGCACCCCTGTGCTGTCACCCTTAACAACCACATGGCACTGGGCCCCAGCAGCCCTTATTGGACACAGTTGGTGCCATATTTCAGTGACACACAATAATCGTATAATACATAATCACTAACCATTTTAGGGACCCATTTACTCATATACTTTTCTTCATCCCCTCGCTTTCTTCTACAGTTTTACCTAATTCCCCACCTTTCACCTTAACCTTCCTATCTTCAGAAGATTTCAGATCTCACCCCCTTACCCCAGGATTACAAGCTGAGATGCCTTTCCCTGCATCTTTCCCCCTGCTTCTTTAAATCCTATATTCCTCAGAGCTAACAGAAATACCTCCCTGAGCCTCCTCACCCTACAGGAACATTCCTCTTGAGGCTCTCAGGTCTCTCTAATAATGATAATGATAAGCATCATGGCTACCATTTTTTGAGTACCAGGTATACTTTATATAATCACAGGTGCTTTATATAGTACATAAGTACAGACATTTCTATACCTTCTGCACACCGTTTCCAAAGACAGAAAACTGAGGCACAACCAGATTAAATAACTTTCTTAAGGTCAGCAACTGGTAAATGATAGCATATTCAAACCTGGATATCATCCATTTCTTCATTCAACCATTCATTAATCCATTGAACAAATCATTACTGGGTGCCTGTTGGGTAGTTTTTTCCAGACTTGGACACACTTTGGGATGGAATAATTCATTTGGCAAACACAGCCAATTTTGCTGTTTAGACAAAGCGAAGGCAGACAAAGGAGGGAAACCAGAAGGGATTACAGATTAATTGACTCAGAATTAAAGCAAGGCAGGCAAAGGGGAAGAGTGGGGAGATGAGTTTCAGTTTCAGACGAGAGCCCTGAAAAGAGAACAGTTTGTAGGGAGTAGCTTCCTTCCTCCAGGGCTCCTGGTTGAATGAACTCCCTGAATGAGAAATGAGTGTTGAGACTTGTTTTATTGGTTATTTAGAAAAGTAGGTTTTAAAGAAGCAGCGATTTGCAGATTCCACTTGGATGTGTCACACCCGTCTTTCATTCATCACACCAAAGAGAGCGGGGAAGTTGAAGGCATGGAATTTGAAAGCCTGCGTATTGTGAAAGGGGCAGCCTGGGACCCAGTGAATGATTTTTTCCAGAATGAAAGCAATAGCAGTGTCCGGGACAGGAGTCTATCTCCCTCTCCCATCTTCCAGGTAGTTAGATGCTTGTCAGTTTACCCTTTTAGGCTCTACTCAATTAGGGTTCATGATGAGCAAAGATGACTTGCATTTGGAATTACCTTTTTACTTGTAGATCCTCTTTTTCAGTAGATTGTTAACTTTTCAAAGACAGGGCCTGTCCCATTCATTGTTCACCAGCTTCCATGCCCAGCGTGTCACCTAGTGCCATGCTAGGAAGAGCTGCTGGGAAACAAAGGTTGGGTGGAAGGAGAGAGGAAAAGGAAGGAAGGAGAAACAGAAGCAAAGGATGCCTATTTCATATTTCATAGGGTAGTACTAACAGCGTGCACTTGCAATCAAGAGTTTCTGTGTTCAAACTCCAGTCCTGGCATCAATAAGCAGGTAGTACAGACTCTCAGAGCCTCAACATCTTATTCTGGGAAATGAAAATCAATAATAGTGCCTACTTTATCAGACTTCTCGGAAATTAAATAAGGTAATGCATTGGGCAATTTTTTGTAAATTTATCCAACTGTATGGTCTGATAAGAAAGAGGAGCTCTTCAAGATTTCAAGGATTGCCATCAGAAGTCAAAGCTAGTGGCTTTTACCAGGATGTTGCCGACTTATCTGAGCCATGTTCCTCTTCAAGACAACTCAGGTAATCAGCAAATACAGTCCTTGCAAGGTTTTATGTTTAAAGAAGAGATTCTTAGGGGAGCGTAGGTGGCTCAGTTGGTTAAGCATCTAACTCTTAATTTCAGCTCAGGTCATGATTTCATGGTTCATGAGATCAAGCCCTGTGTTGGGCTCTGTGCTGACAGCATGGAGCCTGCTTGGGATTCTCTCTCTCCTCTCTCTCCTCTCTCTGCCTCTCCCCTGATCTTTCCCTCTTTCTCTCTCAAAATAAATAAATCAATACTGTTTTAAAAAAGGAAAAGATACTTGGAGTGTACATTAAAAAGAAAAGATTCTAATTGCCATTGTCAACAGCAACACTTGTTGTGTTTGACAGTGAGTGAATTCTGTCACTTCTACTGGCATTTTTAAAAAATTTTTTTTAACGATTTATTTATTTCTGAGAAAGAGAGACAGCGTGAGCAGGGGAGGGTCAGAGAGAGAGGGAGGTACAGAATCTGAAACAGTGTCCAGACTCTGAGCGAGCTGTCAGCACAGAGCCTGATGTGGGACTCGAACCCACGAACCATGAGATCATGACCTGAGCCGAAGTTGGACGCTTAGCCGACTGAGCCACCCAAGCGCCCGTCTACTAGCATTTATTGAACTCTTATGATGAACATGGCATTCTGAAACATACTTATAAGGAGCTGAGCAAAGATAATGAAGATTCACCTCATCCCCCATGATGTTCAGTCCACTTCCTTTCCTACAACTGGTTTCTCCATTTGCCCAACAAGAGGTTGGGAAGAGCCATATCAGACTTTCCACCATGACCTTTCACAGTTTTATAATGCGCAAATGCCAGGGTACAAAGAGTAATTGTGATTACCTTCTTCTGGATGATTCTTCTGGGATAAAGCTATTTGCTAGGAATCCCAAACTGATGTCAGCTCCAAACAATGGTATGTATACAATTCACAGAGCACTCTCTAATACATTTGCTTACTGGATCCTAACTACCAGCTTGTACGGCAGTGTCCCCAGACTCATTTACAAAGAAATAATTGGGTCTTAAAAAGACTAAATTATTTTTTTTAAAGTAAAAAATAAAAATAAAAGAACTAAATTATTAGCCCAGGTCATTGAGAAAGAAATTAGCTGGGCCAGGGCATAAACCAGATTTTCTATTCATTCATTCATTCGTTCGTTTATTCATTCATTTGTTGTTTTTATTTTCATTCCAGTTAAAAACTATGGAAAGCCTCACAAATTTGTGTGTCACCCTTGCACAGGGGCCGTGCAAGTCTACTCTGTATCGTTCCAATGTTTAGTATATGTGCCGCCAAGATCAGCACCAGATTTTCTACCCTGAAACACAATTTTCTCCATCCCCTTTACTCTACAAGAGCTTTTCTGACCAGGTGATCGAATAATACTGGTTCAGGGAAGCTGAATTTAGCCAGAGGCTACTAGGACCCTTCCAAAAACCCTGCGTTACCTCCTCAAGCACTTGAGAGCCCAGAGTGGGTTAAGTCTTCCCTGGCTCAGTCCCAACAGACATTAAATTCACCTGTGCTTGCTCTGAAATAAATCAGTGTCCTTTTCTGCTGCTGCTGTTGTCTGGAAATAATGCAAATGCAATGGGCCTGCACTGACATTGTGCTTCCCTGGAAGGCTACACATAATAAATTGTCCCTTAATACTGTTAAAGAGACATTTTCCTCCTATTCAGGAGCTTTTGAGGTTGGCTGGGGCTACTCATCCAGCGAGGAGGAAAACATGGCGTCTTTTCCCTGGGCCCAGCCATTCATGTGCCCTCCCCATGCTCTTTGGCTTACTGCATTGCTAAGTTCAAGGATGCATTTTGTAGCCCCGGTATCAAGTCATAGGATTCTCTGCTAACCTAGACTGGTTTCCTCGTTTGTGACTTGACTTTATTTATTTTACTTTATTGTAAGCATTTAAATGTTTGGATGCTTAAAAGCTGAGGGAGACGGGAGGTCCTTGTCCACGCCATTCATCTTTTGGAAGAACGCCAAAGCTGTTTCCGCAGAGGACAGAAGGCATTGGTCTCCCCTGCAGGAAGCCACTGCTGCTCCTTAATTGTTTGCTAGAGGAAGAATCAAGGGTAAAATTTAAAGTAAATGGCTGGCCGGGTTGCGCTAATTCATCAAAGCATGTTTCAAGTTGGTAGTCAGAGCATGCATCAGCCCCTGGCACCACCACCTTCTATGAAAGTAGAAAACCCAGCAGACTTGCAAGCAGATGAAATCATTAGGAGGCATTCAGCAATGCTTGAAAAGCAAAGAGAGAGGAGGCAGGGATTGCTGTGCATGTCCCGCTTTGCCACATGGGGAAACACCAGTTGTCTGTGACCTAGTTATCTGGGAGAGATACCCACAAAACTGTTCGCTGCATGGGAACCTCACCCTCCAGTGCACCCTGGGTGCTCAGAAAACAATTAGAGCTTCTTAGTTTGAATCTATTCCATTTGCCTAGAGATTTTTTAGTTGCAGGAAAGACACACCCACTTAAGGTAGTTTAGAAAAAGGATAGTTTTACAGGAAGAGACTGCGGACAGGAAATAAAACCCAGGTTCATTAGAGATTAGAAGTAGGAACTGGAAAGTTTCCAGGAAACCCATCAGCATCTCCCCCACCCCCCACCTCAATACATAGTCCCTTGTCTGTGTGATGTTTCTTTCTCCTGCTTCTCTATGAAATCTCCTTGTTTTTAAGCATGGAATCATTGATTCATTTAGTAAATATTGAATTCTACCATGTGGCTGGCCCTGTTCAGGATGCTTGGATACAGCAGTGAACAAAATAGCCAAACACCCGTGCCCCTGTGGCATGCACACTGCAGTGGGGCGCTAGGCACTAAGATGATAAATAAGTACAGTGTGTTAGCATGAAGTACTTAGAAGAAATGGTAAGGATAGGAAATGTAATTTTAAGACGACAGTTAAAGTCTTGAATAGGAGGGTCATGGAAGATCCCACTGGGAACGTCATTTTTAAATAAGGACCTGAAGGTAGTGAGAGAAGTAGCCTCACAAATGACAGGCTGAGCACACTGGGTGGAGGGTACAGGAGGTGCAGAAGGATCTGGGGTGATTCAAGGAGTGGCAGGAGCCCAGTAGGTGGGGAACAATGAGTAGAGGACTAGTGAGATACAAAGTCTACACCTGGGGGTTGGGGGGAGTCACGGAGTGAGGACTTTGCCTTTTTCTCTGAGTGAGAAGGGAAGATCCAGAAAGTCTACCTCCACCTGAGTAACCACATGGTCCTCCCAATCCGGGAGTCATTTCTTACTGCTAACTTACTACTGAATCAAAATCCCTTTGTTTCCAAAAGAGAAAATCCAAGAGACACTGACCATGCCCACTCTGCTTCCGCAGTCAACCTGAGTTCTAGGGGCTTGCCCAAGTATCAGCTAACTAGGCTAAAGCCCCACTTGATAACTAGTGACAGCCAGTGTCTAGAAATAAATAATAGAAATAAATAGCCATTTCTATTTTTGCCTATTTCACTCAAGAATGCAGAGCAGTGGGGCCAGCTAGTCAAATTTCAGGGATATGGAGATCCAGCTATATCTCTTGGTCAATCTCTCTCTCTCTCTCTAACTTTCTCTCTCTCTGTTATTGCCTTCCCCTTTCTCTCTCTCTCTCTCCTCAGAATGCTTGAGGAACAGTGGACGGCACAGGGAGAGACTTAGTATCTGAGAGCAAGTACTCGTACCCCACCCCACACTGGGTCTCACAGAATCTTTGCTGAGTGAATGAGTTGACAGTGTTAATAAGAGTGTCAGGACCTTAGGAAACAGATCCTTTTAGAAAACTCCGATTCTCAGATTTTCACATCAGATCTTCAACAAAGACAAAATGAGAACATGTACAATCTCAGCAATCTCTTTACCCGGAGTCCTCAGATGTGCCAGAAGGATCCACAAGAATTGTCATGAACATTTGAGAAGGGGTGCCAGTCATGTTACTATTAATAAATACCATACTAGAGTTGGAGATCTTTTTGAATAAATTAGAATGAAGTAAATATTAACCCCAAAATATCATCATTCTCACTGCTCGCAACCAATATGCCTTCTGAGTGCAAGAGAAAGGGTGAAGCTATGGCTGGACCATCAGAGCTGTGCATACCTTAGACATGTACCACACACATATATCTTCCCTTTTGTGACTCTTGGTGGAAAATAGAATGAAAGCCACTTCTGTGGGGAACAAGACTGGCACAATAGGGTACTTATCTGCAGGGCAACTGCCACTTCTTTCTCAAATGACTGCCACAAGGACGGGCATGTTCTAGAACTTTCTTCTCCTCAATTCTAAGAGCACTGAACTCATGGAATGGCCAAGCAACAATGATCTTTATCTAAGAACAACCCTACAGTGTTTTACTGTATCATTCTTGTAATTAGATGCAAGAAAGTTACCATCTGTAGTTCAGCCATGGCTCTTCACATGGAAGAGGAAATGACTAAATATATATTTACATAGCTCTCATGAATATGCATTTTGTAAATGCACAAATATGTACAATTACTTGATAGACTGTTTTGGTTCCTATCTTTCGAATATTTAATACAACCATAAATGTTTAATTCATATTTACAGAGTTGATTGAACAGTTTTAAAATTATGCCAAGTCTTGTTAGAAACAAGAGTGGATGTCTCTAGCATATTTGTGCCGTGGGATTTGGCCCGCAGAAGCCACGCGGACTGGTTAAGTGATGGCTTTCTTGTAAAGAATATTGAATAAAGCTGCTCATGAAAATTGACTTGGCTGTAGCCAACGGCAATGGCACTGCATTTACGTCCCAAATTAGTCTCTGCCACCCCTTCGCAGCTCTTTCCATCACACGTCGTTTAAAGGATCTCCTCCAGTGGCAGCACCCATATGGAAAGGCTCTGCCGTTGTACTCTGTATATGCAAAACAGGGGCAAAACAGGGGTGTCTGCGTGGTCTTCAGTGAGGGATCTGAAAAGTGAACGCCGCAAAGTAGATGAAAACTTGCCCACGGGCAAGAGAGGAAGTAAAATGGGACTAGTCTTCTCATTAAGTAGGGAATTACTTTGTAGGGTAATTCCTACCCAGAAATTGTTAGGATTCAGCCAAATGCCAGGAGAGGCTATAAAACATGGCCCGTCCCTGCAGTGTGGACACAAAGCACTCCAAAATGTAGCCACTGCAGCAGGTCCATTTTGCAAAGAAAGTATGAGGGGAGGCCACACCTCCTTGGGGTATGGTATTGGACATACCCAATGACAGCAAATAGGGGACTGTATCCTTGACATTACAGAAGACCAGATGAAGACACTAGATCCCACAATGTGTATTTTGAGCAGTTTGTGACAAACTGAACCTTTTATGACACAGAATTCATCAATAATATCAGCCCAAACCAAAATCAAGGGATCATTGGATTGTGAAATAGATCTGTTAAAAAGGGATACACAGTTGAATGGGACAAGAAGACAATGGGAGAATAACAGAGAAACAGAGGACAAAGGATGAAGATAAAAAGGAAGGGCTCATCCTCGAACCAGGAGAGACACACCTCCCTAATTCTCCTGTCTACAGATGTCACCAATATTCTGGCAAAGAAAATTGCTGGTAATTACCAGAACCACACACTCTAGTTATAAATGGAAAGTATTTATAGCTTGTCATACATGTGCGGGGATGTTTAAGGGGATGTTTAGTGAACTGTAAATAGCGTGGGTTCAGTTCTGCCCTACTAATCCTATATGCCGTAATTATAAAGCCTCAAGTAAATACAAGCCCTTCAATTATCAAGAAGAGATATCTGAACCAAATAGAACTAAAGGGCAGTAGCAAACTCCTGATGCCCACAAAGGTGTGGAGAAAGAAGCACTTTCAGACTCTCTTAGGGCATTCTGAGCGAGTTACAAGGAAGTTAATTTCTGGGAACGAATTTTGCAATTATTTTTCAAAGGCTATAAAAATGTTCATAGTATTTATCTCCTTACTCCTCTCTATCCACTCTTACAACAACTTCTGGGAACACAGTCCACAGAAATACTACAAAGAAACGAAGTTATGTGCTCACAGGTGTTTGTGACTGCACGGTTTGGGATAGTAAAAAATGAGAAACACAAGCATTCAATTATTCTGTCTATGGTTAAGTATATTATGATGCTTCCCTTTTTTTTTTTTTTTACACTGAGGTTATGGAGGTTGTTTTATGAGTTTTGAAAAATGTATACAGTTGTGTAATCACCACCACGATCCAGTTACAGAACACTTCCATCACCCCAAAATTTCCCTCGAGTAGCCCATTCCACCCCCAGGAAATCCACTGATAAGATTGTTTCCCTA